CCCGTCGCGCTGTGATTTCGCAACCGCGCTCCACGGAATTGCTCGACTGTTCGTCATTCGTTTGAGAAAGGGGCACCTTCCGGGCTTACTCCGCGTCCACGTTTCCTCCGAAACGGTACGATCAATGGGACGAAGATCCTTGTTCTGTTCCATTCGAAGTCCTCGCTACGAGTGCGACACGATATTCTAGGGCAAGAGGTTAACACGCGATAACGCTTCATTCGATGAGCTCGTTCAACTCTGTTGTAATCGAAATGCTACACTATTTTCCCGACGAATCGTTCGTACCGCTGGTAAGCGGAAAGTCGAATAAAATTTCTAGTTCCGGCGAGAGCAGAGTCGCGAAGCGAGGCGAAGAGGTCGGTAAAAATTGGTTTCCGCCGTTGAGGATTTGATTAAATTAGAACCTAGCAATGGGAAGAGCAGCCGCGGCACTAAAAGTGTTCTATAAAAATCTATTATACAAATTGACACATAAAATAGCGAATCTGCACGAGTAGCCGCAGTCTATAAATGAAAGCAGGTGAACGTTTCTTCGACGCAATATCCGGGGATAGTTCGCATACCGGCGGGTAATCGAAGCTACACGGCCGCAACGGCCGAGGAATTCCCCGTACATTTTCCTCTGACAGATGGTCGCTGGATCGGGAGCCACTCGGTTGCTCGGTTGCCAAGCAGAACCCACAAATCGTACATTTCGAATGAGGTATGGTAAGATCGCACTCGCCTGCGGCGATGTCGCGTCACCGGCTCGAATCGCGTTTTCCACGTTTCCGGGGAACACGGGGGAGGGATCAGCCCCGTTGTGTCCCCAATTACGTAACGAAATGGGCGTGGACGAATGGGGGTGCACTTCTTTGTTCGTACATTAGAAATTACTTTCCCTGTCCACGCAACCGCTGTTTTCGCCCCTGAACCGGCGATCACGAATACGCGAACGTTCGTTTCGACGTTCTTGCACCGTGTACTAAATATATTCATTCCGAAGCGAATCCTTTGAATTCGTTAATTCAACGTTTGCATCCATTTACCGGATTCGTGCCTTCAGTTCTATTGGCAAGTTCGCAGCTAAAGAATCACGGAATAATCAGAGGAAAAAGGAGGAAAAAATGCATCGCGCAAGATAAAAGAGCTAGAAGAAGCATAACACTCGGAACGAAATTGCCGAGGGTCTTTGTCTTATTTCGCAGGATAATCGGCGGAGGAAGGAGCGAAGAGGGATGCGATGAAGCGAGGTTCAGAGTGCTTAATAACTTTCCACGGTTCCCATGGGCGAGCTCGGAGTCTTCGAAGATTCTGCCGGCGAACGTGGCCTGGATATAAATATTCTTAACGAGGGATGGATGGGAACGAGCGAGAGACGGGTAGCCGAGAGTGGCTGGAAACGGAGGGGAAAACGCGAATAAGGAGCCGAGTTGAACTGCGCCGCCGTTAGGCCGGCCGGACAGAGTCAGACAGCTGGATACAGCGGGGCCCCGTGACATTTACTGGAATCAGTTCGACTGATTTTCAACCGGTTAATTGATCATTTGCATTCCCCGTCCGTGGACGCGCGAGTCACCGGTCCGTGCGGAAACTGGAATCTCTAAAGGTCTGAATTTCCGAATTCTACTCCACGACGTCTCGGCGTTCGGCTGTAATTCGTTCGCGGCTCTGATTCGAGCGGGGGAACCGTTCTATAACTGTCGGGACGGTTCCTGAAACCGGTTCGATAAACCGGGTCGCGCGACACGGACACGCACGGAAGCACGAAATACGAATAAAATGATTATATTTGTAGAATGTATTAACAACTTCCTGGCAGCCGGTTAGCCCCCCGACGGTCGTGTATCTTAATTCAATCGGGGCCGGAATCGCGCCGAAATTTTCGCCACGCGAACCCCCCTCTCAGGTTGAAATTGATTTCCTATGCGTTACCGTATTTTCTAACGTGCCAGACCGGTGAAATGGGTCAGGGAACGTCGGGGGAGGGGGCAGAGGGAACGGTCTCGGGCTTGAAAGATGGCGTCTGACAGTGCATATCGTTGCGTTGCGTGCAAGGTCGGGTTCCGTGCAACGCCAGTCAGACCCTCGAAAAATTTTGGCGTGATACGACTCGTAATTGCGTACGTAATATTCAAGTTCGTGTGCCGCACCGGTCTCTCGAGTTCTTTTTCTCTGCCAGTCGGTACTCTGTACGCGGTGTGGTTTTTCTCGACTTCTCGACTCCGCCCCGCGTTTCCTTTCCGCGCTCGAAGAAGGTCAGGCGCCGCCGATACTCTTCCCGCAGAAACGTGGACGTATAGATCCTTCAAGATACCACGGAGGAGCCCATAGATTCCTGCATTCGGCTCAACGGATACGTAAACGAGACGCCTTCTGTCTCGTGTGTTGCCGGAAAGGATGTGTTCCCCTTGATTTACGAATGCGAAAGGACCGATAAATCGACCCTCCTTCCGACACCCTGCGCGGGGATGGTGCGTCCTTTTCGTGCTTCCTGTTTACGATACACGCCTGCGGGAGCCAGCGTCGGGAGCAGGGGCTCTTGGCAGGAATAATTAAAAGAAACGCCCTGATTTAACCCCTCTCGCTGTCCGACGGAAACTCGTGCGAGCTACTCGACATGGAATTACAGCCGACTAACAGAGACGTACGGACGAGGATACGGATAACGGAAGCAAGCATTTTTAGCTGTACAAAGTAGCGCGTTTAAGCGCATTCTCTATCCACAAGTGGAACGGACGAGCCTCGATCGGACAGTGGAATACGGCCACCAAGTTCTAGAAAATATTCTAACGGTACGTGACCGTTTCCGATGCGCGTTACGACTAACGTGTCTCCAGTAGTGCGAGACGTCGAACAGTCGGACGGAGCGAAATTACAGGAACGCGTAACGCAACTGTGTCAGCGCGAAACTAAACGTTTCCAGCAACGACGTCGGAAGACATGTAAAAGGTTCCTTACAATCTCCATTCGCCCGTAGAATGTCCGTGTTAATGGTCAGACAACGAACCGGGAAACGGTGGCCAAGGCAGTAAAATATGTAGAAACCATAAAATCTTTTAAAACCCTCCCGAAAATACGGGTGCATGATAAAATGCGGCGTCTCGAGTAGTGCGAGACCGTGTTCGGTCGGAAGAGCGGACGAACGGAAGAACGCGCGACATAAAAACGCATGTAAATGTCACGTCCGAGATCCGTATCGAACTCTCGCGCAAAAGCGTTCGATAAGAATGATTATCAACCTTTTCTGAACAACGGATGCTCGAGATTCGATTATAATCGACATTGATAGGGTATCCTCCGTTCCCTTTTCCCACCGCGGCCACTGGAAACGGAGGAAATATTTTTGATCGCTGGTGCGCTCGGCGGATACCCGTTTGAACGTAACCCGCGTCGAAGATAAAAGTCCCGGTCACAAAAGGCCAACGCGACTCTGGAAATTTCGCAAACACGCGAACGAGTAACAAGCACTTCCTGGTATTGGCTTTGTCCAATCGAAAAAACAGGATCGTCCGATTCGGATTGCGGCGGCGTAACGATGCCCGGGGCCGCGGTGGACGCTGAGAAATTGCATATCGATGGGGCCGACGCGGCCGCCGCGGCCGCCGCGGCCGTTCCGGTGCACCGGTTCCTCCGTCATCTCGGCGAAATTATCCAGTTTCCTGGAGCTTTTGTGGCGCGTGCGCGACGGCAGATGGATATTATTTCGCCAATGGCATCCGGGACCTACATTTCATCGCGGTTCTTTCGATATTCCAGCGGAACCGTAAAACGGTAATGAGGAAGGGTTTCGAATAGCCTCGATTTACGTACGCGCGCACACGCGGACGCGGCGAGGGGACGCGCCAGCGTGGCTGGCTCGAAAATTAGCGCAGACGGAGCTAAGCAAATATTGACCCCTACAACAATAATGGCCCCCGTATTTGCCGAAATCAATTTCGGCGTTACGTCCGAATAGAATTTACGGAAAAACGCCGCGTCCGGAAATTGCGTTACCGACAGCGCAAACGGACGTTTAATTGCGACCGGACTGTCATTGTGTGCCCGGGCAAACTCTGCCCATTCAATGCATTTATACTCGCCGGCAATCGGAAATCAATAAGCAAACAGAAACATTGTTTTCGGATCGATTTCCGCTTACAGATAGGCCGCGCGGCTACGTATGCTCATCAATTAAACGAAATGTTATCGGAGAAAACTGACGGAGGACCCCTCCGCTCGCTCCCGACGCGAAATGGAAAATCAAAGTGTAATCCGGAATCCCATGAAAAACGATTGAATAACGAACGCGACTGGCCCGCCTCTGGTTTCGTACGGTTCGCCACGGTCATACTATCGCGTCCCGTGGACACTGCCACCCGACAATGATCTCCTCGCTGCGGAACAGCTAAATTGCCTCGTCGAAAGAACCCTGATAACGCGACACGTTCGTTTTACGGTGATCAGCGGCGATCAATCGCTGTCCCAGCTAAGATATTGTCGCGGACGAGTCGGCTCGAGATATTCACAAGTAATCGACACGAACACGCTTCGTTTGATCGAACGCTTTCCGCCGGGAAAAGTATACGGTATAGGGACGTTGGACGTTCCAGATTCGCGACGCTTATTCGTCATTACCAGTTGGATACCGGTTAATAAATCAACGTCATTAGCTCCCATTACCGATGCTAAAAGTGCAAAACAAATGACGTGCCTCTCAGTCCGGGCATGTGCTAAAACTTATTACTATAATTCCCCCCCAGGAACACATTCGAACGTAACGTCTCGTTACAAATGGGATCTGATCAGGCGACGGTAATAAGGGAGCGAGCGAGGCACGGCAGAGGGGTCTCGGGAACCCGGGACCGATCGGTTTTCGGGACGCGAGCCGAGAAAATGGAAGTTGCCAGAGAAAAAAGCGAATCGATGAAAACGACCCCGAAACAACGGACGTACGCGCGTCTTTTCTCGCGCTCGATAAATCCCCATCGCCGTGTAATCGGGCCTGCGGCCAGCGAGGAGCACGGAAAAAAGGAAACTAATAGGAAAAGTTCCCGCTGAGGAATTCAGCTACGAAAATTGATTTGCCTCTCGCGCGGAGTCCGGAGCGCGGAGCCCGAAGCGCGGAACGTCCAGGAACTTTGCGCTCGTTTCAAGTTTAGACTCGATTACGGCCTGTCTCCGATAACGACTTAGAATTTGGCATCGCGTCAATAAAAATCCGATGAAACCGAGGGAAAAACGGAACAATAGACCCCCTCGCGACGATTCCGTAAACTGGATTTCAGTTTCGAAGCTACGTTACGAGCGACCCGGGAAACCTAGAACCGGATGGAACCTGCAGAAAGACTCCCCCAAGATATATATTCATCCGCACAATCTTCAAAGTCCGACGGTGAAAATCCGCTGCGCTATCGCAGTGTTTTGCATGTTCCATTTATATCCGGTTCCGCTTGTCCCAGAGTTCTATGGGCAACAGTGAAAGATGAGGGGCCGAGAGAAAGTCCTTCGCCTGATGACGTACTCACATATGCTGTCAGAGGTCTCCCGATGAAAAATGCCGTTTTGAAGGAGACAGGCCGGCCCGACAGAGGCGAAAGTTTGCCGGGCGGACGCGAGTAGGGAGGGGGACGGCCGAGAAAAAGGGCGGGCGAGAAAACAAGATCACGGGACGAGTGGCCCGTCGGAGGATTTCGACAGCGCGCGCCAGAGTCGGGGGTTGCTCGAGCTTTCTCGCCCCCTGCCCGCCCTCTCGGCGCGCCGCAAAACTTGTCCCGTTAACTTCTTCCCAAGAAGTTCGTCCTATGAATAGTTTCGCGAGTATGAATCGCTGATGCGGCCCGCGCTTTCATCAGTTTCTCTCGGCCCCGGGTCTCTTCAGGCTAAATGAAAAAAGAAATTGAAGCAATAGCGGATAGCGATACACCGGGCCGGTTCCGCCTGGAAATTCCCCGGAACCGCGGTAACGACGGGATTCATTCATATTTATGATCCCACTAATTTTACATCGACGGCGCGGCTCGCAGACACCGGCGCACGGGGGCCCCCGGATGAAAAGACGGCGCCGACCCAAGCCGACCCAAGCCGCGAGCGCCCGTGGCCGCCCGTGGCCGCCCGCGCGCCCCGGAATCAGCCACCAACCGTTGACCTCATTAGCGATGCATATTATGGTACAATAGATAAGCGAGCGAAGGAGGAGCGCCTTTCCGCTTCGACTTCGGCCCCCGACGATCAATTAAAAAACAGCCGCGGTGGACAGGGATTCCGTGCATCCCCCGAGTCGAATTCCCCGGACAACGGGCAAACGCGAAGGGGATGAAAGAGTCGGAGGAAAGAAAAGGATCCGACTAGCCGGATCCTCTTGGACATCTCGGCTTTTGTGGCTGGTTAATTTTTCGGGGGTGCAGAGGCACACGGTTCTCTCGGGGGCAAGGAGAAGTCGCCGGGAGTCGGGCAGGAGGGGGAGAAAAAAATGAATGAGAAACGGAGGCAGGGTTCCAGCAGGGGACTTGCCGGGATAATCGTCGAGCGTAGGCCCGCAGCAATCGGGTTCGACTCGACGGAACTGAAAACTCAACTCGGCTCGGCTGAGCTCTCTAGCTGGCTCCAGCTATTGATCGGAGGCCGACCGGGGTCAGAGTAGCAGTGGACTACATCGGTACACCTACGAGTGCACGCCGCTCCACGTGTTGGTATGTGCACCCCTGCACACCGACGCGTACCCTGCACACGGACGGACAGCATCTATCCTCTCTAACCACCGACCCTACCTACGAGGCACCAGCCGCGTTGCGACGTCGCTATTTACTTTACAGTTGCGCCTACCGGAATGCCGTGCAAATGCACACGCCGTTCCGCTAACTCCGTTACCGAACGGTTTACCCGGAACGCGTTCGCGGATTTAAACGGAAATCATTTCCAGCGAATCTGCCGGCCGTTCGATCAGTTTTTCCGCTGGGCTCGCGTGATACTGCACGCGAGCTTGTCGGGATGAGTCGAGTCAGACGGTTGCCAGGCACGTCTGACTAGACACCAACCGATTCTACTTCGATTGATTTTCCTCCAGGGTGTACACTTGTCCGCGATAACTTTCAATATTTTCGTTGCGTTTCGAGGTTCGAATGGGATCGAAATTGCCAAAGACCGTTGGAAATACAATGATTACGTGAAACGTTCGGTTGGTCGCGGCTAGAGCGTACAACGTTTAAGTGGCATTCGCCACGTGGCACGATTTCCCAGCGCGATTTTCGGCCCACGGAGGGCGGCGACCTTCGGTTTCGACACCCTCTAATTTCGCCAGGCGAATTTACAATTTCAGAGCGCCGCGTCGCAGCGAAATTGCGCGATGTTTCTATTTGAACGTGCCCGGTTGCGACGCATCGAAATAGACACCGCGATCGCGCGCGATAACTCGTCAGCGATCCGGACGACGCGTAAGAACGCGGCCCACTCCTCTTCCGCCGTTCGAATGGACCGTTACTTTCGAGATTAGGATCGTCGGTTTGCGTGTGACTCACCTCGTTGGTGTTCCATCGGTGCCTCTGAGTAGGGAAATGCTCGGCTCGTGGCAGGGTCTCCAAATTCTCCGGAAGTTTTATCGGATCCCCATCTAAACAGAGCAATAAAGACGCGGTGAAAATGATGCCCTCGAACGTCGGATATTTCGCGGGGCGGAGGGGGCCGAGCAGCGTGGAACAGCTTCCAATATTCAGGGAAACTCGATAGCCGTCCTCTCCCCCCACCGTCCACGCACACCTCCGCGTCGCGCACTCTACCCCTCTCGCGGCGGGTTTCGTTTACACCGGCTTTTGTTAACTCTATCATTCGAGTGCTAGGCTCGATAATCCGAACATTCCGCGTGTCACGCGAGTTACCGTAAATTTCGTGCTCGCACATTTATACCGACGAAAGCTTAGACGTTTGCATAACACATCATTAGACGTGTTTATATGCAACGGATCGAAGCTGTTATCGATCAGGGAACGCAACCGGCCCTCTCTTCCCCCATCTGAGGCCACCCACACCCGGTTCTTTTACGCGAGAACAAGAAAACGACAGCACCCCCTCCCTTCATCCGTGGGTAATGCATTTTTCACGTGCTCTAACGTTGCGTTTCCAAGAATTCAAATGCGTAATTGATTTAAGAG